TGGAGTTCGACCGATTTCGACGCGCTCGCGCGAGAGGCCCGTTCGGTCGTATTTGATGAGCACGTTGAAAACAGTTTTGCGCATGATATCCGTAAGGGCTTTGCCCCCTGCCGCTGGGCCATCTTTATCATAATGGGATGTAGCAGAGTCGCGTCGGTGCGTCTCGGCGCTGCCTTGGCGCATCAGGGAAGAACATGCGGGGGCGGATAGTCATCAGCGCATATTGAAACATTGGCGTTATCGAAGACGCCTACGTCGAATCACCGCCGCCCCCTGCCTTTTTGGAAACGCTTGCGTGGCCGAAAATTCGGTTTGACCTTGGCCAAGCTATCGGGCCACGCGTTCCCCGAGTGGATTTGAAAACCTTCGGGGAACACGGGTTCGGGCGAGTTATCGGACCAGGTGGTTTCCGAGCTTTCGGGCCTCCTGGAGGACGTCTTGGAAGGGTCTTGGGCCGTCTTGGAGGCCTCTGGCGGGCCTGTTGGGGAGTCTAAGGCCATCTTCAGGCCATCTGGGGCCGTCTTGGGTGCATCTTGGGGCCATCTTCGCCGTCTTGGAGTCCTTCTTGGCCGTCTTGGAGGCATCTTGGAGGCCATCTTGGCCGTCTTGGAGGCCATCTTGGGCGTCTTGGGGTCTTGTTGGGGCCCTCTTGGCTTGTTATGGGGCCATCTTGGAAGCCTCTTGGGCGCTCTTGGGGCTATGTTGGGGGCCTCTTGGGCCCTCTTTGGCCGTCGGAGAGCTAAAATTAAGAAAATGCCAACATCCTTCAAACACCAAAGGAACATCAATGCTTTTGGTCTCTTCGGGCCTTCCTGGTGGAGCTCTTGGAGGCCTCTTGGGGCCCTCTTGGGCAGTCTTAGGCCATCTTGGAGCCATCTTGGGCCGTCTTGGAGGCTTCTTGGACGAACTTGAATGCATCTTGGACTCTCTTGGGCCGTCTTGGGGACATCTCGGACCACCTTGGGCGAACCTGGAGGCCATCTTGGCCATCTTGGAAGCCATCTTGGAGCCATCTGGAGCAGGAACAACTTTTGAAACCACCCTTTCCGGGCCATTCCGGGACCCCGGCTGGCGGGACCGAGACCCCAGGGGGAGTTTTGAGAAAAGGAACCAAAACCAAAAGCGAACGGATTTAGCACGCCGGGCACCCCTTCGATGAATCAACAGGGGGCGGCGGATTGAAGGCGCCTGCGGCGAATCACCGCCGCCCCCTGCCCTTTTGGAAGCGCCTCTTTGGCCGACAGCTGGGCCAGAGCTTGGCCAAGCTATCGGGCCAGTTATTCCCCGAGTCGGTTTGGAAAGACTTCGGGGAACGCATGGGGGAGCAAGAAGAGGAGGAGGGGGAGGATGAGGAAGAATGAGGAGGCGGAGGCGGAGGAGGAGGAGGAGGAGGAGGAGGAGGAGGAGGAGGCCTCTTGGTCGCCTCTTGGGGCACTCTTGGGGCCTCCTGGGAGGTTTCTGAGGGCCTCTTGGAGGGTTTGGGGGGGCCTTCGGGGGCTTCTTGGGGGCCTCTTTGGCCGTCTTAGGGCGTTCCTGGCTTGTCTGACGCCGTCGGAAGCCGTCTTGGGGGCCTGTCTGGGTCGCCTTGGGGCCCTCTTGGGGTATATCAGGGGTTCCTAGAGGCCATCTTGGGCGTCTTGAAGGCCTTTTGGGCCGTTTTGGGGCCCTCTTGGGGCCGTCTTGGGGGCCTTTTGGGCCGTCATGGGGCCATCTTGGAGGCCTTTTGGGCGATCTTGGGGGCCTCTTGCGCCGTCTTGAGCCGTCGGAATGTCGAGAAGAAGCAAATGCCACAATCCTTCAAAAACCGAAGGAACATCAATGATTTTGGCCTCTTCGTGCCCTCCTTGAAAAACCTCCTGGACCTTTTGGGCCGTCTTGGAGGCCTCTTGGGCCGTCTTGGGCCATCTTGAGGCCATCTTAGGCCGTCTTGGGTGCATCTTGGGCCGTCTTGGAGGCATCTTGGGGCCATCTTAGCCGTCTTGGAGGCCATTTTGGCCGTCTTGGAGGCCTCTTGGGCCCTCTTGGGGCCGTCTTGGGGGCCTTTTGGGCCGTCATGGGGCCATCTTGGAGGCCTTTTGGGCGATCTTGGGGGCCTCTTGCGCCGTCTTGAGCCGTCGGAATGTCGAGAAGAAGCAAATGCCACAATCCTTCAAAAACCGAAGGAACATCAATGATTTTGGCCTCTTCGTGCCCTCCTTGAAAAACCTCCTGGACCTTTTGGGCCGTCTTGGAGGCCTCTTGGGCCGTCTTGGGCCATCTTGAGGCCATCTTAGGCCGTCTTGGGTGCATCTTGGGCCGTCTTGGAGGCATCTTGGGGCCATCTTAGCCGTCTTGGAGGCCATTTTGGCCGTCTTGGATGCCTCTTGGGCCCTCTTGGGGCCGTCTCGGGGGCCTCTTGGGCCGTCATGGGGCCATCTTGGAGGCCTCGTGGGCGATCTTGGGTGCCTCTCGGGCCGTCTTGAGCCGTCGGAATGCCGAAAAGAAGCGAATGCCAAATCCTTGGAAAACCTAAGGACAATCAATGATTTTGGCCTCTTCGGGCCCTCCTGGAGGACCTCTTGAAGTTCTCTTGGGCCCTCTTGGAGGCCTCTTGGGGGCCTCTTGGGCCGTCTTAGGCCATCTGGAGGCCACCTCAGGCCGTCCTGGGTGCATCTTGGGCCGTGTTGGAGGCATCTTGGGGCCATCTTAGCCGTCTTGCAGGCACCTTGCGCGGCTTGGAGGCCTCTTGGGCCGTCTTGGGGCCCTCTTGGGGGTATCTTGGGGGCCTCTTGGGCCGTCATGGGGCCATCTTGGAGACCTCTTGGGAAGACCGAAAAGTCGAAAATGCCAACATCCTTGAAAACATTTGGCCTCTTCGGGCCTTCCTGGAGGACCTCTTGGAGGCCTCTTGGGCTGTCTTGGAGACCTCTTAGGGGGCTCTTGGGCCGTCTTGGGCCATCTTGAGGCTATCTTACGCCATCTTGGGTGCATCTTTGGCCGTCTTGGAGGCATTTTGGGGCCATCTTAGCCGTTTTGGAGGCCATCTTGGCCGTCTTGGAGGCATCTCGGAGGCCATTTTGGGCCATCTTGAGCGAACAAATGGGGGATTGAGGTCCTGGGCAGTCTTTTCGGGTGGCCGGCGGTACGGGCCGAAGCCCCAGGGGGAGTTCTTTGGGAAAAAATACCAAAACCCAAACCGAAAGGATTCAGCACGCAAGCCACCCCTACGATGAATCGACAGGAGGCGGCGGATCCAAACAGTTGTTTTCTGGTCGTCGGCTTTCGGGACATTCGGTCTTGAAGTCCATACCAAACCGACAGTTTTTACAACGACTTCGGCATGGGCGCGCGACGGCGCGCGCGGGGAATTTGTTTCGATTATTTGCACGTGGTCTTTGAACATTGATGACTTGTGATCAGCGGGTGCGCGCGCACAGTATGATTTGACGAGGACGGGGTGAAGTGTCACTACCAGTGTGGCTGGGACGATACGAGCTTTTGCTCAAAATGAACTAGTCATCCCCAGGGGGAACGGATGTGTCCGGCCTCGGGAGGGCGGTGGATCCAAATTCTCTTTTAGTAAAACGACGCGAAGATCGGGACAAAATCGGATCGGGATAACTCGAAATCTCTGAGAATCGGCGGGTTTGGAGGATGTATTGGGCGCCGCGGCCGCTCCAGAGCGTTCCAGAACGCTCTGAGAGCGCTCGGGAACGCTCTGGTGCGATTCATCCCGATCCTGGCCCTGTTTTATTTTAAAAAGACAGGGTCATCAATGTGGTGCATTCCATGTGGCGCAGTCCTTGTCGCGGCGACGAGGCGGCGTGGAGGCGGCGACGGCGAGCGCGGAGCCGCCAGCGCAGCAACCAGGCCCAGACGTCGGGCGGCGCCGAAGCGGCGACGGGGCGGCGGCGGCGAGCACTGAGAACCGAGAAGGGCCAACGCGGTCGCCTCCCCGCTTCTCCCCATCGCTTCCCTCCTCCTCGCTCTTCTCCTGCTGCGGCACACGAGGCAAAGAGCAGCGACACGACACGTGGTCGCCTCCCCGCTTCTCCCCATCGCTTCCCTCCTCCTCGTTCTGCTCCTGCCGCGGCATGCGAGGCAAAGAGCAGCGACACGACACGTGGTCGCCTCACCGCTTCTCCCCATCGCTTCCCTCCTCGTTCTGCTCCTGCCGCGGCATGCGAGGCAAAGCGCAGCGGCAGAAACACACACTTTCAGAGCTCCGCGCGGGTTCTTTTTGGAACAGCGCCGGAGCGATCCCAGAGATCCGCGCGGAGCTTCGAACAGGGGGCCACATGCGAACCCTGCCCCCACCCCCCACGCTTTCTGAGGGGGGGGGGTCACTTCGTGCGGGAGCTCCCGAGCAAAGTGACCCCCCCCTCAGAAATCGTGGGGGGTGGGGGTAGGGGTTCGCATGTGGCCCCCTATTCGAAAGAAGCTCATGCTCACGTCGCTGCCTGCTCTCCGACGGAGGAGGCCCCTGGCAGCCTCGACCCGCACACGGGTCCGCCCCGCCGTCCCCCCGGCACCACCGAGGGGTGCTCGCCCGTCGAGCTCTCGACCTCCCGTGGAGCCCGGCGTGTCCTCCCGCTGCACGAGGAGGCTGCGGGACGGAAAAATGACCACAGCCACTGCTTCTTGTTTGCGCCGCCTTCCAGCCGGGCGAAAAGGGAGCAGTGGTTGTGGTCCTTTCCCTGGTGCCAAGCTTAACGAAAATGACCACAACCACTGCTCTGTTCCTGCTGGCTGGAAGGCGGCAACAAAAGAAACGCAGTGGCTGTGGTCGTTTTCACGTCCCGTAGAGGCCCCCGCCTCGCTGCCTCTGCCGAGTTCTCTACTAGGGGGCCACATGCGAACCCTACCCCTGCCCCCCACGGTTTCTGAGGGGCGGGGGGGGGTTGGCTTCGCTCGGGAGCTCCTGCACGAAGTGAACCCCACCCTCCCCCTCAGAAAATCGTGGGGGGCAGGGGTAGGGTTCGCATGTGGCCCCCTATTTACTCCGCCCCCGCCGTCCCCAGGTCCGGCAGGCCCCCGCGGTGGTGGTGCCGGCGGAGCCGCAGTACGCGAGGCTGCAGTCGATGGTGCTGCGGGAGGCCCCACCCCCCCCCTTCTCCTCCAGCTCGGGGAGGATAGGGGAGGGAGGAGTTCGGACGGGGCTGGGACGAGGGTAAGTGGGTCGCAGAACGCTTCGAAAAGGCCGCGGCGCCCGAGGCATCCTCCAGGGCCGCCAGGTCTCAGCGATTCTCGATGTATCCTGACCCGCTTCTATCCTCGTCTTGGCTTCGTCTTCGACGTAGGGGCATTTCGCTCAACACTGACAGTGCCTGGCGAAGGCGGGCGGCGCACTGCACCGCACGGGGAGCCATTGCGTGCGCTACCGCCGTTCACTCCTGAGGAAGAACGTCCAGGGTTGTGGAGGACGATCAATGGGGAGGAAGCATGTTGCCGGATGATTTCTGGATGTCTAAACGAACATGTGTTAAACATAGTTTACACATGTAGAAAACATGTCTAAAACATTTTCCTGATTTTTTTTTATCACATTTTAGATTCAAGGATAGGACTGTTAGGGTGTCCATTGTCGTGGCATCCACAAGTCCAGGGTCTCATTTCGGACTCTGGGGCGCTTGATGGATTCTGGGCTTCACCTCTCAAGATGATTGCGAGAGGGGCGGGCGCATCGCTTCCCTAGCAGTGCCAATGGGCCGATGGTCGAATCAGCCTTCCTCGTCTGAGGGCTTAGACGACTCACCGAACACTACGGCGAACGAACTCGGCGGGGAGGAGGAAGAGGAGGAGGAGGAGGAGGTGGAGGTGGAGGTGGAGAGAGGGCGGGGAGGAGGAGGAGGATGAGAAGGAGGACGAGGAGGAGAAAATGAGGTGGTGGTGGTGGTGGCAAAGGTGGCGGGGGCCGGGGAGGAGGATCGGGACAGAGGAGGGAGGGAGGAGGAGGAGGAGGAGGAGGAGGAGGAGGAGGAGGAAGAAGAAGAAGAGGAGGCCTCCTCCTTCCTCCCGCCTTTGCATCCTTCAGTCCCTCTCCCTCTGTCCTATTTTCTTTTCATCATGGTCCTCCTTCCTGCCTCCAGGTGGAGCGAGCGTCGCACTTTCGCACCCCACCTTTCAGATGTAATGAAGGCACAGGCATCTGCTGACTGTACACTCGGCCGCGCGGCTTGTCCGCCGTGCGTGGTCAACTTCATGTCTCTCAGAGTATTGCATTGGAACCCTCTCTGTTCCAACACTCCTTACGCGTCGGGAAGAGATGATCATGACAACTGCCAGGTCCTGCCATGTTAGCATTTCTGTTGGCACCCAGCAGCGCGCCAAGCCCGACAGTCCACTGGAGAAGAAGACGGTGCATCTAGCTCTCCTCCAGGAGGCAGGCTGCGGGCCAGGGCCTTTCACGAATCGTTCAACGGGAATTGCGATGACCCTGAGCCGTGGATTGCTTGAGTCTCATCTGATACGACATAGATTTCCATCACCGTCGCCTTCAGGTCGAGGGCTCGGAGTTCGCATTAAACCGTCAAAAATGAATTTAGCAGCGATCGGTGCCTACTTTCCACCTCGCCCCCGTGGGACTGCTAGGGCGGCCAAAATATTCTGCAGCTTGCAGCAAGCTTGTATCGTGACTTCGTGTCATCTTCAGCGAGCTGGCGCAGAATTCTCGTGCTTTCCTCTCTTCTGCCTTGACCTACACGACGGGATCGGGATTTCGAAGGTGGAGGGGGACTGTGTGTACAACAATACCAACACGGTCTCTGAACATCTCGCTTCTAAAGAACACCTTGCAGTGGGAGCTGGGGAGCTCGTTCGGGAACGTACGGGTGAGTTTGGAATGATTCTTCTGGGACTTCGAGATAGGCCCGAAAATACCTTGTTCGGAAATGATGCCCCCGGAGCAGAGTGGATCACATCTTTGGCCCAGCGGCGGTTGTTGATCTGGTTGTCTCGGGCGGGCCTCTTCTGGGCCCGGTCACCCTCCTACACATCAGCTACCTCCTCCTCCAAAGTGCACATTCCCCCCTTTCACGATGGCGGATGTCACGACGGGGTCCTTTTGCAGCGCCAGGTCCGACACAGCACGCGTCGGCGGACAAGGGAAGCATCGGCGCACTGGGAATGGAGGGGAGGATGCCAAATGTGGCGCGAGCTCGCCCAGCTCGACCCTCTCCCCCTCACTTCCCTCCCCCCCCCTCCAGTAACCATTTCGCTCAAGCTCTTGCTTGTTCCGTTACTTTCTCAGCGCCCCTGCGCTCTCTCGGGCCATGGTGGTCCACGCGCGCCTTCGCTGGCTGCGCGATCAGGTCGTCGCTGGAGTCGCCGCGCACCTCACCTTCGGCGCCGCCGCCATCGAGGGCCGCGGGAAGGTCAAGGTGGTCCTCGACCCCGCGCGGCCGCGCACGTCGCCCACGGCGCGGGCCGTGCTTCTCAGCGCCCTGACGTCCCTCGAGGAGCAGGCTGGTAACGCTGTCGTGGTGGACCGCGGCCACCGCTTCTCCGACGGCCGCACGGAGGTCTGCTTCTGGCTCAGCGCTCGCCCCGCGGCTAGCCAGTCACGGGCCCGCAGCCGTCCGGCGCAGGCTGGATTTCATGCTGCTCGTGTCGATGGCCATGCCGATGTCCGTCTTCCTGGTGCTGGTGCAGTACATGCTGCTGGTGTCGTCGGCCATGCCGATGCCCGCGCTGGTTCAGTTCAGGCTGCTGGTGTCGACGGCCATGCCGATGCTCGCCTTTCTGGAGTTCATGCTGCTCGTGTCGACGGCCATGCCTATGCTCGCCTTCCGGGTGCTGGTGCAGTACATGCTGCTGGTGTCGACGGCCATGCCGATGCCCGCGCTGGTTCAGTTCATGCTGCCGGTGTCGACGGCCATGCAGAGGCTCGCCTTCTTGGAGTTAATGCTACTGCCCCGGCCGTCGCTGGTCTCCCCGGAGGTGGCGATTCTCCGGTTGGCCGTGTGCCTGGCGCCGCCGCGCATCCTGGTGTCGTGGCTCCCGCGGGGCCCCTGCGTGGAGTATCTGCCCCAGATGCGGTGGAGGCGGCTTCGGAGCCAGCAGCGCGGCCTGACGCTGGAGTCCCTGTGCCTGTACCTGTCCTTCCTTCAGTGACCGCGCCAGCAGCCCATTGCCATGCAGTGCCTGTGCAGCCAGTGCCAGTATCCGCCAGTATCCGGCAGAGTGTCAGAGCGTTTTTAGCCAGGACAGAGGCGGAAACTCACGAGTGTTTGGCCAGGGCCAGAGCGTTATCAGCCAGTGCCAGTGCCAATGCCGCGTCTAGCGACGCGCCTTGAGGCCACCGTCTAGCCCAGCAGCTCCGCTCCGCTCCATCTCCTCCACCTCCCGAGCTCCGTCAGTTTTCCGCCGAAGACGGAAAACGGAGCAGGCAAGGCAACACTCAGGCAGGCGATGCAGCACTCACTTCGACGGCACGTAAGGCAGCTCTCTTTTCGACGGCCGATAATGCAGCACTCTCTGGCGCTGGCTTTTTTCGACGGTAGATAAGGCAGCACACTTTTCGACGGCAGATAAGCCAGCAAGCAGCCCCACCTTTTTTCACCCCAGCGCGGCCTCTTGGGGAACCACCTTGCTCCCAGCTCCTCCCTCTCCTCCACATCATCAAAATCCTCCCTCCTCCCTCCTCCTGCGCCTCTTGACGCAGTCACGGTCGCGCGGCAGCGCGGCTACAGTCCCGCGCTGCGCAACCTCGCCAACCGGCCTGAAGCAGCAGGCCACAGCGCACAAGTGCTTGCAGCGGTGCTCCTCGAGACTCGAGGCCTCGTGCACCCTGCCAGGGCACTGCTTGCTCGAGGCGGCCCTGGAGACTGACGCTTCGCTCTTTTTGAGGGGGGGGGGCCATGTCTGGGGTGTTCATGCGCAGCCTACTCCGAGCCGCTTGTTCACCTGACAAAAAGTTGATTGGCCCCCCTCCACCTAGCAGCCGGCCTTTTTCAGGCTGCTGGACGGGTTCGTCTGGTCCCTGGGCGTACCCTCGACCCCGTTCAACGGGGTGGGCGGGCGTGAGGGACCCGATGTGCTCGTCCTCTCTCCTCCTCTCCTGGCCTCCGATTGTCCGGTCTTCCTCCCTCCTCCCTCCTCCTCCCTCCCCCGGCGCGCTGCTCAGCAGCAACAAGGCGGTTCGACCGCCCACGGCCATTTTGGCCCTCCGTCCAGCTCTTCCTCTCTCCTCACGGTCTACTTAATTTGGGTAGGCATTCCCAGGCCAGATACTTCTTTTCTAGCCCTGCACTGCTCTCTGCCTCGAGGGCTGCCCTGCTATGGGCAACGAAGCAGGGCCCCGCTGATGTCTTTCTTCGCACGGCGCTGCAAACTCCTCCTCTCTCGTATTTGATTCCTCTCTTCCCCTCCCGCAGCGCCAATACCTCTCTCCCGACAGTTTTCGGGACGAGAGCGGAAGCAGCTCAGCGTCCATGCTCTCGGGCTTCTCGTGTGCAGCCTGTGCCAGTCCTGTTGGCCGCTGCGCTCAAGCTACTTGCAACGAGCTTAGTACAGTCAAAAAAGCCCCCCCCATCCCTCTCCCCCTGCCCTCCCCGCCCCCACGCCTCCCCCCCCCTCTCCCTTTCCCATCCCTCCCCTCCCTCTCCTCCCCCTTCCCCCCCCCCCTCCCTCTCATCCCAGCGCGAGCGCGCCCCGCTTGCCTCTCTCCTCTCTCCTCCCTCGTCCTGCCGGGAGCCGCCCCCCCCCGATCCCTCGTGCCCCCCCCCCCTCCCCACGCACTCTCCGCGCGCCCCTCCGGAGGCGGAGGAGCTGGGCAACCCCCGGGACTGCTTCTGCGTGCCGCAGGCGCCGGAGGGGGGGGGGGGGCGTCGAGGGAAGAGGAGGAGGAGGAGGAGGAGGAGGAGGAGGAGGAGGAGGAGGAGGAGGAGGAGGAGGAGGAGGAGGACCAGGAGGAGGACCAGGAGGAGGAGGAGGAGGAGGAGGAGGAGAAGAATGATAATGAAAATGCTCCTTCACGAAGTGAATCTTGCTCTTTTGAGCCCCACGGGACCCCAGGGGGCCAACAGGAGGCTCGGGGCCCCGCAAGCGCGGACCCAGGCGAGGAGCCACACGATCGGCGCGAGCCCACGACATTCCACATCGACTTCAACTCTGACAGGAACTGTCCACGATTGCCAATAACTGCGACCAGACAGTGCCCACCTCTGAACTTCGTACCTGTTGCAGCCTGAGCGAAAAACATCAGAATGGATATTCAGAGATACAGGAACATTCGTCAACAGCAAGTGACCGAGAAGAGAGAACAAACGTGCCACACTGCCAGAAAAGACACCATGAAAAACATATCCTCAAACTCTCGGCGATCACATCTGTTTGCAATCGGGTGCTGGCGGCGGTGATGGGGCAGGAGGCGCCGACTCGGCCATCTCGGCCAAGGCCTGTCCCAGCCCTCCCAGCGCAGCCTCCAGCCCGCCCGAAACTTCTTCATGAGCGGCTGGCTTCTGCCCAAGCGGTGCACGACCTCGCAAGATATCGATGTCTCCCAGCAGCCGCTCGCGCACCCTGCTGGACGCCCAACTCGCGGCGGCCCCAGGCTCCACAGCAGCGGCGGCGGCGCCAACGCCCGCGACCAGCGAGGCTCGATCCAGGCGTGCACGTCGACGCACGAAAGGCTGATGCGGCGCCCCAGCACGAAGAGGGAGATCCACCACCTGCCTGTGAAGCTCGACGAGCGGGACGAACTCCTCCGCCTCGGTCCTGAAAACGCTCGGCGCCGAGACTGAGGCGGTCTCCGGAGCACCTACGAAGAGCGGCTCCTTCACATCCACGGTCTGCTTCTCGGCACTCCTCGGAGTCCCTGAGCTGCGCGGGGCTCCCCGTGGCGAGCCCAAGCCAGGCGCAAAAACGACAGCGCCGCACGAGCACCTCAAGCCTCCGCCCAGGAGAGGCTCGCGCCGTACTCGATCAGCCGCCGCCGTGACCAGACTGGTGCTTGGAGGAGGAGGAGGAGGAGGAGGAGGAGGAAAAGGAAAAGGAAAAGGAAAAGGAAAAGGAGCAGCAGGACGATGAGGACCAGGAGGAGGGGGAGGAGGAGGGGGAGGAGGAGGAGGAGGAGGAGGAGGAGGAGGAGGAGGAGGAGGTGGACGAGGTCGAGGTCGGGGAGGAGGGGTCGCCTTGCAGCCCGCAGGGAGCGGGCGCGGGAGGAGCGGGAGGTAAGGGCGGGGGGGGGAACAGGACAGACACGAGGAGCGGTGCGGGCGGGAGGTCGCCTCGCCGCCGCCAGAGAGCCGGCGAAGGAGAAGAGGCAGGGAAGGGCGGGGCGGTGGGGCAGCAGGAGGGATATGCGGGAGGGTGTGCGGGGAGGAGGTGGGGAAGGGAAGGGGACGTGGGGAGGCGCGAACGGATTGGGTTGGATATAGGGTTCGCAGGGGGCTCGGAGAGGGCAGCGTTGCGAGCCCCCCGAGGTGGGGGCTCGTTCTGCGGGGTGGAGCCGTGCGGGGCTCCCCTCCGCGACGGCTGCAGCCAGCGGCGACGGGAGGGATCACTGGGAGTGGCGGCGGGGAGGAGAAGGGAGGGGGGGTGAGGGAATGAAGGGAGGGATGACGAGAGTCGCTGAGCGCGTTCCACTACTCGCAGAGTGCCTACTCGCAAGCGTCCGAAGAAAAACACGTCTGCCTCAGTGTATGTAGCACCCCGCAGTTGCGGATAAGACAGGGTGGGCGGGCGCGGGATGGGTCGCGGGTGAGTCGCGGGGTGGGTCGCGGGGTGGGAGGACGACAGCAAACAACAAACAACACAACAACAAAACAACAAAACAACATCAACAACCACCTCAACAACAAACGCAACACCACCACCAACAACAACCATTTTAATAGTGTTCGCTCTTATCTGCTCGCGGGCCATTGAATTCGTATATCCCAAAACCTCAATACCCGCCTTCTTCGTCTTTCATCGTACCCCCTTGGGTATATATATATATATATATATATATATATATATATATATGTATGTATATGTATATGTATATAGACACACACACACCTGCAACGTGTATTTCGTGCCGCCCCTCAGGCAGGGGAAGAGAGGACGGATGGAAGGAAGGGACAAGGGGGAGGGAGGAGGATGGAGCACGGGATTAGTAGGTGGGGGCCAGGAGCAAAAAACACGTGGCAGAACCAGACGGACGGGCAGACCCTAACGGGCGGGTCGGGAAGGCGGGCCCAAGCGGCCAAGTCGAGCAGGCGGTTTCACGCATGATTATTGCATGAATCGCGAAGAAGTCTCGAGCGATAGCGCGATTCCCAAATAAATCGTGTGGACATCCACAGCGAGAGCGTGATTCCTGAGTGTCGAGGGCGCGGCGTTTGAATCAACTGTGAGAAAGCCCCACGCGGGAGCGCGATTCCTGTATGAATTGTGAGGGCGTCCTGGGCGAGAGCGGACTTATGAGGTGGGAGCCCTTGTTATTGTAAACCCGGGGCCAGACACACACTTCTGAGACCCAACACTTTCTTTGATGAAAAGCTAGGTGCGAGCCCCAGGAAGGGCACTTGAATTGAAAAACTCCATGTGCCCCGGAGGGGAGGCTCAAGAGTAATTATTCTGCAGTAATGAGCGTTCAACAACACCAGCACCAGCACCAGCACCACCACCACCACCACCAACAACAGCAACAACAACAACAACGACAACAATAACAACAACAACAACAACAACAACACCAACAACAAGCCGCACCGCGGAAGCCCATTTCAGCCACGCGCCCAGGGACAGTGAATGACAGTTCGGCCCCCTCACTCTGAATAGATCGTAAGTTCCCCGCGGCGGATCCAGGCCAATTGCGAGTATTTACTTTGTGAGTAGCGGAGCGCGCTTGTCTAGAGATGGCATGGGCAATTGGAGCGGGCGGACGTCGAGGTCCGATAACTCACCCGCGGGCTCCTCTTGGGCGCCGACAGTCTGCTGCCACTGCCCCTTTCTCGCACGGACAATCCCCGCTGCGATTGCCTCTTTTCCCCACGACTTGATCCTACCGTTGTAGCTGATGGCCGTCTCCCACGAACGCCCTTCTGGCACCGACGGTCCTTGCTGCCACTGCCTGCATTCTCGCACGAGCAGATCCCTGAGTTGTCGGTTCGACAAGCCGATGGATGATGATACTGATCATGGTGATGATACGGGTAATGATATCGATGGTGGTAGTGAGGGTGAGGATGATGAGGAGGAGGAGGAGGATGAGGATCAGGATCAGGATCAGGATTCTGATGATGCTGATGATGATGCTTATGATGATGATGCTGACGGTGATGAGGATGAGGAGGAGGACGATGATGAAGTTGATGAGGATGAGGATGAGGATGAGGATGGTGATGGGGTTGATGGATTATGATGCTGATGCTGATGCTGATGCTTCTGCTACTCATGATGCTGAGGATGAGAACGATTCTGATACTGATGGCGATAAGGAGGATGAGGAGGAGGAGGATGGGGAGGACGATGCTGATGATGGTGATGGTGGTGGCGATGATGACGGCACTGATGCTGATGAAGTCTATGATGATGTTGTCGAGTATGATGTTGCTCATGGTGATGATGATGTTGATGATGATGAGTATGATGATGCTGCTGCTACTGCTGATGATGGATGATGGTGACAACGCTGACGATGAAGATGATAACGACATGATGATGCTGATCATGCTGCTGCCGATGATGATGTGATGATGATGATGATGATGATGACGATGACGATGATGATGATGATGATGATGATGATGATGATGATGATGATGATGATGATGATGATGATGCTAATGATGATGCTAATGATGATGCTGCTGATGCTGAGTATGATGATGCTGCTGCTTCTGCTGATGACGATGGTCACAATGCTGATGATGAGGATGACGACGAGACGACGATGCTGATCATACTGCTGCTGGTGATGGTGATGATGATGCTGATGATGATGGTAGCGGTAGTGGTGGCGGTGAGGAGGAGGACGAGAGAGGTCGGGAGGAAGAGACAGATGGGGAGGATGATGAGGCGTATGAGGAGGACGAGGAAGAGGGGGAGGCGTACGACGATGCGTATGATGAGACGTACGACGCGAGGCCGGATTACGATGAAGAGGAGAAGCCGACCAGGGCGGAATCGATTATGATGGTGATGATGACGATGATGATGATGATGATGATGCTGATGCTGATGCTGATGCTGATGCTGATGCTGATGATGATGATGATGATGATGATGATGGTGATGATGATGGTGATGATGATGATGATGCTGATGCTGATGCTGATGCTGATGCTGAGTTTGATGATGATCATGGTGATGGCGATGGCGATGGCGATGGCGATGGTGATGTTGCGATGGCGATGGCGATGGTGATGGTGCGGATCAGGTGGAGGAGGAGGTGGAGGAGGACACGATCGACGGACATCTGATGATTATGAGACGAAACGACATAGTATGGTAAGATGGCATGATGATGACGATGACGATGCTGGTGATGAGGAGAAGGATGAGTCTGCTGAGGATTAGACTGCTGAGGATGAGACTGCTGGGGGCGAGGATGAGGACGATGATGAGGAGGCTGATGATGATGAGGATGATGGTAAGGATGAAACTGTTGATGGTGGTGATGATGACGCTAATGCTGCTGATGATGATGATGCTGTTGATGCTGCAGCTGATTTTGTTGTTGGTCATGATGATGATGATGATGATGATGATGATGATGATGATGACGATGCGTATGCTGACGGATAACAATGATCACGATGATGATGATGATGTTGATGATGATGCTGATGATGATGATGATGATGATGATGATGATGAGGGGGATGATGATGACGATAAGTATGAGGATGAGGTTGATGATCTTGGTGATGATGGTGACGCTAGTGATGCTGATTCTGGTCACGGCGATGGTCATCGTGTTTGTAATGGTTATGGTGATGGTGCTGATGCTGCTGCTGGTAATGTTGATGATGCTGCTCATGATGGTGCTAACGATGACGACGACGAGGATGATGATTATGTTGCTGGTGCTGGTGCTGATGCTGATGCTGATGATGATGGTGGTGTTGTTGATGATGATGAGGACGAGGAGGATGAGGAGGAGGTGGGGGAGAAGGAGGATGACGAGTAAGAGGAGGAGGAGGAGGAGGAGGAGGAGTAGAGGAGGATGCGGATGAGGATTGTGATGCTGATGTTGATGTTGTTGTTGATGATGCTGATGATGATGCTGATGATGATGCTGATCATGATGCTGATGGTGATGGTGATGGTGATGGTGATGCTAATGATGATGTTGCTGGTGACGACGCTGATGTTGATGATGATGCTGCTGCTGATGCTGCTGCTGCTGATGCTGATGCTGCTGATGCTGATGGTGACGCTGCTGATGATGATACTGCTGATGATGCTGGTGATGACGATGCTGCTGATGATGATGAGGATGATGAGTATGATGATGATGCTGCTGATGATGATGATGATCATGATGATGATGATGATGACGCTGCTGATACTAATGCTAATGCTGATGCTGCTGCTTCGGCTGGTGCTGCAGATGATGATGCTGAGGATGGTTATTATGATTCTGATGACGATGCTGATGCTGATGATGATGATGATGCTGCTGATGATGATGATGATGATGATGATGATGATGAGGGGGATGATGATGACGATGAGTATGAGGATGAGGTTGATGATCTTGGTGATGATGGTGACGCTAGTGATGCTGATTCTGGTCACGACGATGGTCATCGTGCTTGTGATGGTGATGGTGCTGATGCTGATGCTGCTGCTGGTGATGCTTATGATGCTGC